GGCTCACAGCCTCTGTAACAGCTCGCTGAAAAACCAACCCTGAATGCTATTTTTGCCTTTCACGTGTTTTTGTAAAGGTGACGATCCTGTTTGGGTTCCATCTCATTCCACCCCCTGGAAGAAGACTCATGGGAGCTTCTCCTTCTGTAAAGGATGTGTTCTGAAACGTGTACGTGTGATAGATTTTTCTGGGAAGTCAGGTTCTATTTAGAATATGTTAGCATATTTCCATACATGAAAACAAACTCAGGATTCTGAGAATCTTTTGGAAAAGGGAAAATCGTCCTTTAGCTCTTTAGAAAAAGATCTCTAAAATCTTTACACCAAGATTATTCATGCCTCTTTTCATCTTGATTATATTCTCCATCCTTATCCATTGGATTTATTCAGAGTAAGATACAACCACATACCATATGGGGTCTTCCCAATGAAGTGACAACTGACACTTCAGAGGCGATGTGTCATGTAAAAAAAAAAAAAAAAGTTTAAGTTATTGAAATAACTAAGTAAAGATATGCCAAAGGATGATGGTTTATCCTTCTTTCTGGTCATTTTTTTTTTTCATCTGTTTCCAGACAGCGTAAATTGTACACCTGAAGCTTTGAATGTATCTTGCTATCTTGAAAGGCTGAATTTATAACTATAAACTGGCACAGTTCCTTGGTGGTTAACCTTACCGCTCTATCAGCGGCTGGTCATTCCAGAGCAATGCCGTGTGGACTGCCGGCCCGGGTGTCCTCACTGAGTGCGTGTGCTTCAGGGCAGCGCCGACGCCCGTGGACTCAGAGCTGCACCTTCTCTTGCCCAGCCAAGCTTCCTCACCCGCAATGCCCCACCGGGACCCACCAGGAAAGGGCCAAGGAGCATGCGCTGCCACCAGTGTGGGTCCTGACTCCACTTACAGGCGGGGGAGCTAAGAACAAGTTTTGTAGCCCACCTTCCCATCTGGAAAATGGGCCACCCACCCCTACCTCCAAGGCGTCATGAGAATGAGGGGATATTAAACAGACTACGCCCTACAGGCTGAGCCCTAACAGAGACCAGCACACCGCAGGCCCTCACAGCCCACAGGGTCCAGCTGCTCTGCGCCACCCAGAACAGGCCTGCAGGGCGCACCCCCAGAACTGCGGGGCACTGAACTGAGCACTTAGGGTCCACACGGCTACATCCACTAAGGAAGCACAAGCAGCAGCAAAGTCAGAGTTCTGAAAATCAGTCACTTGGGAGTGAGAACCCCAAAGATGGTCTGATTTGCCCCAGACCAGGCCACACCCGGAGGGGCCAACCCCATATGGACAGGAAGTGTCCGACCTACTGTTTCTGGGAGCTAATGTAATAATCCCGAGTAAAAGATTTTACTTGGGTCCTAAACGTTTACATCCTTCACAGTCTTCACATGGCGGCGTTTATTTTATTTGTTTTGTCCTTATTTTTATCTCTGGATGGGACTACGGGTAACAATTTTTCTTCCTTCCTGCTCATCTGTGTTTTCTTATTTTCTATTCCTGGCCCTGCATCCTGCCAGAGCAGGAACACAAAACACTTTTCAACTGCAGGAAATGCACCAATGTTTCTCTCCTCTTCAGCATGGATTCAGACTAAGGAGGGAGAGAGAAGCCGCAGGGGGCCCAGTTGTGGACCCATGGCTCTCCCTGCAAGGAAGCAGAGTTATTTGTAAGGCAAATAGTAGTGGGGTGAAGGTGGGAAGCCCATGCTGTGCCTTCTTCACAGGCCTCTCAGAACTCGGGCAAGGCCAGTGACCTCCGCCCCAGTGCACAGCCCTTGGCTGTGCTGTCCACACATCAAGAGGCATGACCTCTACTTGTCTGCTGTGTGGCCACCAGAACCAGACATGACCCTGCCACCCAGAGGCACGGCCACTCCCTGACCTAATGGCTACCCCACAGGAGCAGGAGCAGTGCTACGGCGGAAGGCGGTTGCATCACATCTGCTTACGAGTCCCAACTCGCCACAAGGGGCATGTGCTATTTCCAGATGACAGTGACTGTAACACTCACCCCAACACGAGTCCTTGGACAGGTGTGCTAAACAATGTGATGAGTCTGGACAAGTCTACAGGCCACTAGGTGCTGTCAGCCGAGACCCCAAGCTTCTCAAAAGCACAGAGCCTTTCTTCCACAAGGCATTCTCAGACCTAGTACCAGGACATAGTTCCCACAGGTAGAGCCCCTGGTGTTCCAGTGAGAAGCACACGATTAACTTGACCATGGATGTGACTCTTCCATCCACACAACACTCGTCTGCTGGGGCCTTCGGTGTGTGAAGCACATCCCAGACATTCCACGGTAAAGGCATCATTCAAGTGAGGGACTGTCCTTCACCAGGACAGCCCCTGCAATGCAGGGACACCCTCTTGACAGGGCTCTTATCAGGGACACTTAGGCACAGACCAACTGTACACACAAGGGGCTTCTAATGGGAACATGAGTTTACAGTTTTCAGAGTAATGCTACTTGTGCCATTAACCTCCCAAGACCTCCGTGAGCAGAAACATAAATGCTGACAGATCCAGATTTATCTAGATGCTACATTCCCGATATCATGAGCCAGATGAATCAGATGCAATGGTAGTTTGTGTTTGAAATGAGTACCCTAGCTAGTGTGTGGATGTGTATCACAGTTCCTGGCATACAGTCGGTGCTCAACAAATGCTGGCTATATTATTACTATTACAATTACCATGAGCTCATACCTTGAGGAGATAGCTATTCCCTATAGACACTCCTTAGATTCACTGAATAAAAAGTTCAATTAAAATGACCTATTTGCCCACCAGCTTTAACCTATCTAAAAATTCACTAAGAAACACCACAAGAATGAAAGCAAAAGAAAACAGTTGAGAAACACAAGTCTTCAAACTCTTTATACAATAAAATCGCAACACGTGCCCCTTAAGAACACAGGTTAGTTTTCTCAAGTACCAACATATCCAGACATTGTTCTCTGTACCTGGGAGGCCATCTTAGGTACATTTTATTTTAATATTTATTTATTTTTGCGAGAGAGAGAGCCAGAGTGAGAGCAGGGGAGGAGCAGAGAGAGAGGGAGACACAGAATCCGAAGCAGACTCCAGGCTCTGAGCTGTCAGCACAGAGCCCGATGTGGGGCTCAAACTTGCAGACTGCGAGATCATGACCTGAGCCGAAATCGGACACTTAACTGACTTAGCCACCCAGATGCCCTGGGAGGCAATCTTAAACTGCGGGGTCAAGGTATTCTGGACTCAAGAATGAGAAAGTTATGCCCTTTCTATAACTGATTAATGCTTCTCCTTTTTTAAAATAATTTTTTTAATGTTTATTTATTTTTGAGAGAGAGAGCATGAGCAGGGGAGGGGCAGAGACGGGGGGAGACAGAAGATCCGATAGAACAGAGCCCAGTGCAGGGCTTGAACTCACAAACTGTTGAGATCATGACCTGAGCCAAAGTCTGACACTTCTGAAGACTGAGCCACCCAGGCGTCCACTGATTAATGTTTCTTAAAATAAATGGATAATACAAGCCGACTGCCCAAAGTAGCTTAGAAAGCAATTAGTTTTGCTTCTGGCTGAGAAAAAAGACAGAATAAATAAATGCCCACATAGGCAGAGGTTATTTTATGGGTCTTTAATGTTGGTATTTCACTAAAAATATAAGGGAAAAAACCCCTCCTGACAATTCTCCTCTGAAAAAAAGAAAGATGCTCAGGGACACTCAGTGCCGGGCACATTGACAACACCTCTCCCCTCATGCAACGTGCACTGCCATCTGAGGTCGCCTGCTGCTCCCAGGGACAGGCAATCAAGTCTCTAAGTCCTAGGAGTATGGGCCACACCATCTGATTGCAGTCCCCAATGATTTATGCCCATATCCCTCCCTCTACTAGAGGGCATGTCTGGGGGGACCTCAGAAAGCTGATCCAAGCTCAGGGACAGTGACCAAGGAAAGGATGGACTAGCCTGGGTCCTTGCCTGGAGGCAGAGCTGGGGTGGGAACCGAGGCCCTCCACCTCTTGGTCAGTGGGCTCTTTTGGCTACAGCATGTGGGTGACCAGATCTGCCCCATGACACCATCCATGGGAGAAACCTCCAGTACAGCAATGAATAATTAAGAAGGCAGGAAACAGTATGAAATAAATATAAACAACAATTCCTAAGAAAGTTCAAATTAAAGCAATAATGAATTCATTTGTAGACCTATTAAATAACTCAGAAGAAAAGTAAACAACAACAAAAATAAACCTCACTAATTTGAAGGCTTCAGGAAAACACGGGCACTTACTAACTGCTGATGGGCAATTAGGCAATAAAGAAATGTACCATTCATAGTCATGTAACAGCATTCCAAACCAAAGAATGTATCTCCAGGAAACTGTTTTTTAAAACGGACATACGCGGGAAAAGCTGCTGATGATACTATTAATTTACAGTAGTGGGAAACTAAACTCTCTCAGTAGCCACTTAATCACGGCATTTCATTCCTGTATGGTGCTTTGCATTTGACGGGACAGGTGCTTCATGTGTCTACACCCCAACCCCCCCAGGATGCGATCCGATACCTGCTTCATGTAGGCATAGCACATGGTCTCGGCAACGCGCTTCCCTTCATCGTAGCAGGCTCGGGGTCCTATTGGATTCACGTGGCCCCAGTAATCTTCACTCTGAGGGTGGACTTCAGGATCTGTGAGTGCAGGAAAGTGAGACCATGTGTTCATCAAGCTTGTATGCATCGTGAACAATGAATATTTACAATGCAAGAGACTGCTCTAGAAAGACCAGGGTAAACATTTACAAATGGAGAGACCCTGATCAATGTTGCACTGCCCATTCTCTAAGTTCCAGTGGGACAGGCTGGACAGTATTTTTACAGGGGAAGAAATAAAGTAAAAGACCAGGGTTCTCTCAACTGCAAGCCCCTCTCCCGTAAACTGTTCTTAACACTTAATTATACAAGCTATAATTAAATGTAATCTACGTGAAGGGATGTATGGTTCAACTTTATATTTATAAAATATGTAATTGCAGCAAAGCCTGTACTTCTTGAAATAACTTCAGGAGCACCTCTGTGGAACACAAGGACTTCCCCACGTGCCAACAACCCTAGAACAAACTCGAGAGCCTCAATGAGACATGAGTACCCTGGTCTGTGTAGGTGGAAGGACGGAGCGTCCCTGAGGCAAATGACCGCTTGTTCCCTTAGCACACATTTTATATCTCCCAACTTTTGTTTTTCTGGTGTGTAAATCAATCACATTTTAAGATGTGCCAAAGGCACAGACCATTTAAAGAAACCTAGTAACAAATTCTTTTTTAACACAAGTGTATTTTGGGAATGTGGATACCTAATTTATATGGCACACTAGGAATTTTATACAGCCATAGCCAAAAAACCTGGACAGTGTACAGGAGCTCTGTGTTATAAATTCATCTCGTGCTTATCTTATAGCCAAAATCTGACTGCAGCTCATGGATACAGAGTCACGAACACACAGGTGCCCGAGTTGGCCGGCCCCCGTCGGAGACTGGTGCCCCCCACCCCTGCAGCGTGGCCGAATCCAGGGGCAGGTTCAGACCTCTCTATCCAGTGCTGTGGTTTAAAGTTCTCTTAAGAAGGGGGCATGTTTTTACTACAGGATGAGAGAAGAGGTCTATGGCAAATACCCCCTGAGAGAAGAAAACCAGCAACTTAATTTCACACAGATGTTAACAGATGATGGACATTAGGCCTTTTGTGGGAATTTCTGACAAGGGCCAGGCAAGCTAGACTCCAAAGAGACCATCATAAATTTGGCAAACGGTAAGAAAGAAGACCAGGCACACCCATGCATCTGTCCCTCAATCGGCACCCCTGGGCTGAAGTGTCCAGGGTGCCCAAGGTTCAAGACACCACTTTAAAAGTGCCCACTCTCTGTGATAAAAGTAAAGGTCTAGAGTCACAATTGATTTCCAATTAGTCTCCCCTTCTCAGCATTTTGTGAGGCTAACACATTAAGCACCCACTCCACAAAATGCCAGTTTCCTGAACTATTCAAACATCAGAGCAGACCAGTTACACCCCGATGTTACTTAAGAACCCTAAAAACTGATGACAAACTGTCATCAAATGTGCAGATAATAAATGAAGTGAGAGGAGGAAGAAGGCTGGACAGGGAAAAGATGTCACTCACTGTGCCCTTTTGGCCAGTATGAGGAGTACCTTTATATTTGAGACATTTAAAAAGATTCAGCCCTTTGAGGCGCACCTGGGTGGCTCAGTTGGTTAAGTGTCCTACTCTCGATCTTGCTCAGGTCATGATCTCACGGTTCATGGAATCAAGCCCCGCGTCAGACGCTGCACTGACAGTGGGGAGCCTCCTTCGGATTCTCTCTCTCCCCCTCTCTCTCTGACCCTCCCCTGCGTGCTCTCTCTCCAAATTAAAAAAAAAAATCCAGCCCTCTCAGCTGTGATATATAAAGCTCATCAGAGGAAGAGAAGGGGAATCAGCCAATGACTTATAAAGGGAAACTGACCCCTTGTGAAGTCTTGCTATGGAAAGAAACAGGGAGGCGGAATGCAAACCCACTCAGCTGTCTGTTCTAAAAGCAATGAGGGGAACAGGTAGGGGGTGGACGCTTTTAACTGCCAAGATTTCGTTTTCACAGGGATTACAAAGAACAGAACTGCATTTAGTAGAACTCCTCTTTTTCTAGATTTTTTTTTCACTCAGTTCCCTTATTTAAAAAAAAAAAAAAAAAGCATCTCTTCCAATTTTGCCCCTTCACTTCGTTTCTCTGTCCAAAATAGTAATGCGAAGTAGATAAGTTGCATGTCAGGGTCTAGCTTCTGCTGCTTCAACAATGCCGTCCTCCACAACCCTGCACCCGTTGGTTTGGGGCTGAACCTGCACCCCTCATCCTGCTCCTAACCCAGGCTGGCTTAATGGGCCTGGAGGGGAGGTAAAGTTCTGCAGGTTGGCAAACAGGCTCCTGGTTTTCTGGCATTCCCTACTTCAGGTTCTTCCAGAAGTCATTATACAACAGGTGAGGCAATCAGTACATATCTCTTTGCCAAGCAAGCAAAAGCCAACCCCTGAGCTCTCGGTGGGTCAGGCTCACAGCACCCACTGCTCATACCGAAGAATAAAGTGCTCCAGCTAACCTGGCCAAAAAATCCCTACTGCATGATTTCTGGGGTCCTTTCAGAGCCGAATGGGAAACACCCCTCTGTGGCTTTGTAAATGGCAGGGCCTCCTGGGCAAGGTGACATGAAGCAGTCGTCCAAGGGTGTTCTTCGGCGGGAGGAAAAGGGGTTCGTGCCTTTTCCGAGAGCAGACCACGGGTGGCTGACAGGTGGCCTCGCTGCTGGCTCGCGCACAAGCAGGGAGAGTGGGCTGGGCCGTCTTACACACGGAGTCCTGCACTCATTTTTGATTCCTTCTTCACCTGAGACAGTCCCATGGGCCCAGAGCAAGCACGACTGGGGGAGCCCCACCACTCACCTCCATACACCTCCGAGGTGGAGGCCAGGAGCAGGCGAGCGCCGACTCGTTTTGCCAGCCCTACAGAAAGCAAAGATACGATCAGGGAAGCTGACAACCTCAGGGAAACGAGGAAGTTACAGAAGCGCATGCATGTTTTTGTGGCCAGTTGATGCAGTTTTTTAGTATTAATTGTATCTGATCATCTGTGCCCTGTGCACCATCCACTCATATTGTATCTACCTTGAAGCAAACAAACAAAAAACCAAAATAGAAGAACACAAACGAAACCTCAGAGGCACAGTATTTAGTTGGACACTTGTAGGTGCAGGTGCAGGCAGGGCCAAATGGAGAATCTGTTAGTTTGGTGAGGTGTGGGTTCGGGGTTACCACCAGTAGGCAGAAGGCAAGGCCATTCGCACCTTCCCTTCCACCGTCCCTGTGACGCGGCCCACCTGCCACTTCCTCGACGTGCCCCCTGGCATTCTGACTGTGCCGGAGCCAGCCCCCGCCGGCTGGGCCCCTCCACACCGCCCCCCCCTCCCCCCACCACCTCCTTCAAGGCTCGGCTGCAACAGCCCCTTCTCCAAAACAAGTCATGACATCCCTGTGTCGGGCTCTAAACGCTTTCCTGCACAGACCCCTTGCAGGCAGAATGGACTAGAACACTGTGCTCGATGGGAGTCAGGTAGGTATGGAAAGTCTCCAGGCACTCACAAAGTCCCAATGTTCATCAGAGGCTCACGGCAGCTGTGCGCCAAAGAGGCCCATCGCCCTTCACTTAACCCAATGGCTCCTGAACGTACTCCCCCTCGGAGCCTTTGTGGACAGATGCCACCAGGTCGACAGGCCGGGGTGCCACACACCCAGTGCTGCACGCATGCCCGCCCACGGGGCAGAGGTCCAGCGAGGTGTCTGTAAAGTGCTAGGGCTGGGAGCTGGGTGTATGCACACAGCCTGCGGGCACTTCTGGAGGCAGCCAGGCGACACAGAAGGGCCCTGGCATGAGGGGCCCTGGGGTGCGGGTGTGGGAGCACCCAGGGGAGGAAAGCAGGGAGCCATGAAGACGCCCAAGAACAAGAGAGCAGGGCTGCCAAACAGGAAGGATCTGGAGATCATCTGTGCAAATGCCACAACGTGCTGGAACAAATAAATGCTAAAAAGGGACGTAGCAGCATCTGGAATTTATAGGCTAAGGCTACCAACACCACAGGTCTGTCTCTTTCACTCCTATTTCAGCCCTCGGAAGTCTGCCGAGTGATCACTGTACCACATCACTGCATAGATGCAACGGTGGCAGTTTCAAAAGGAAGGACCCCAGAGTGTTGGGTGTTTTTTTTGTTTTTTTTTTTTTTTTTGTAATACACTTTTGAGGTAACTGTAGAGTCAAATGTGGTCATACAGAGTCAACAGAGAGAGACCCTGCATAGCCTCTACTGAATTCCCCCCAACAGTAAAAGGCTGCAAAACCAGAGTACAATGTCCCAAGCAGGACACTGACATGGATACACTCAGGACCCAGAGCATCTCCGTCATCGTGAGGACCCCTTGGCGGGGAGCCAGGGGAGCCCCACCTGTGTTGTTCTAGTGCCCAGATGTTTATGCAGAGACTGGACAAAGGGGTCTCATCTTGAAGAAACCGAGCACGGGCCCAGAGAAGTGGGGAGCCACAGAGAGGGAAGGGCCCCACCAGGAAGAGGCCGGGGGGGCGGGGGTTCACTGCATCTTGTCTCAAGTGCAAAGCGATTAATGACAGCACCTCTCTCCGTCTGGAATATGAAGTCCCTCTTAAGTCTTTGCGGCCGAGCGACCGTCCCCCACCTTCAGCTTTTGTCCCTGTCATTCCTGAAAGGAGTTTATCATTCCTTCAGGACTTCCAGGTCCAATCTCACCCATGGCCCACTAGTCCCTTCTGCCTGGAACTCTAACAGCATTTCACTGGCACCTCCCTTTGGGAACATTCCCTTCCTCCTTGGTGTCACTGGTGCCTGGGCCCATATATCGCCTTCTCCAGGAAACACCAAGTTCCCTGGCAAAAGACAGGACGGTGTCTGGGCACAGTGACTGCACAATGGATGCTATCTTCTTAGACATCGTGTGCTTGGTGGCTCCTCTGTTGTATCTCACTTGGGTACGAAGGAGGCGGCTGGGGTGGCAGAGGGAGTGTGGGGAGGGGTGGGAGCAGCAGGCAGCTCTACCAGTGTCTTACCTCTGAGCAGAAGGGAGACCCTGTTCTGTCTGGTGACCAGGGCGGGGGTTGTAACAAAGGGAACAAAGCCCCTTCGACACCAGGAAAATGAATCATCTATTTCTTGCAGAGCTGGACCCCTCAAACTGTTTAGTCTACGAGGACTGAAAACCAGTCTCCGGCATCCCTTTCGGTCCCTTGTCTCCATCCTTCCCTCGAATTACAATTTAGTGCTGCATTTCCCAAACCCATTTATAGAAGCTGTCTTAAATGTTACCATAATTAAATCCATTTTTCACTTGACATTTTAAAAAGTGGTTCCTTTTTCCCCACTTTGCAACTAATCAAAACTCCCAGTTTTTGAAACCTGTGTCAAACTTAAGATGCCTCTGATTTCAAGCATTCATAGGTACGCATTATCCACAGCTACCAATCTACGGCGTGTTGTTTGTAACACGCACCCGTGGCCCCCTTTGGTGAATCCCGCAGTTCAGCCTAGACTTGGGCACTCAGCTTGGACAACCCCATAAGGTTGGCTGGTTTTCTGCTCCTCCCAGGAGCACTCCTGAAACCCCCGTGCGTGCATTCCGCACCGACCTGGCCTTGGATCAGAGTCGCCAGTGCCTCTTCCAGCTCAGAGGCACACACACCATGTATCACAGGGTAAAGTGAAGGAAGGTGTCACACAGTCACACACACAGTCACAGTGACAGGTGGTCATTCTCAGGGGATTCCACTGTGGCAGTGCAGACTGGTTACTAGGATGGTGGTGTCCCCCATGACAACTCTGATGGCTCGTAAAGTCACTCCAGGGGTGAGGGAGGGGTCTAAAGTCCAAGACCAAGCTCTAACAGAACGTCGATGGCCTATGCCTGGGATTGCCTACAACATTCCCCAAAACAGCTGCGAAATAAGAGAAGGACAACTTACCTAGCATGTTTAACGTCCCGATCGTATTGGTCTTCAGCGTCTTGATGGGGTTATACATGTAGTTTGGAGGGGAGGCCGGAGAGGCCAGGTGGTATATCTGATCAACTAAAGGAGACAAAAATGGAAGTTCGTGATTTCCACGGAAAACATTAAAAATATTCTGAATCCCTAAGAATCAGACCGTATGATACAGGCATTTCTGTAGCACTGAAATTCTAGTTGTTACTGTTTTACTCTTCATAAAAAGTAATTTGCTTTTGCAATTAGAAGAACTTTAAACAAAAATAGAAAGTCTAATTGTCTGCAACAAAAACACATGGGGGCCCAGTAATCTGGGCCTGTTCTCTAACGAGAGTCAATCTGATTCCAGAGTTGACTGTTTTCTGAGATCTGTCCCAGATACAGCATGCAAATCAGGAGGAAGACCAATTTTTCAGACACTGAATTAAACATGAACATCCAAAGCAAGCAAGGTTTTTAATTTGTAAAACCAATCTGACATAAAAGCACTAACGTACGGGAGGAAATAATCTTTTGCTTTGTTTTTGCAAATCTTGTGTACATAAAACCAGACCCTGAGATGACAGTTGGGGGGTAGTTTCTGTTTTTCATTGACTGATTATTTTTTAATTTTTGTTTTCATTGTTTATTTTTGAGACCGAGAGAGACAGCGTGAGCGGGGGAGGGAGAGAAAGAGAGGAAGACACAGAAGCAGAAGCAGGCTCCAGGCTCTGAGCTGTCAGCACAGAGCATGACGCGGGGCTCAAACTCACCAGCCGTGAGATCATGACCTGAGCTGAAGTTGGACGCCCAACTGACTGAGCCACCCAGGCGCCCCCTCATTGACTGATTATTTATTGAGGATCTGCTTAGTGGCTCCCGAGCAAAAAGACACACTAACGTTAATAATGAGTTAATAAACTAGGAAACTAACGTTAATAATGAGACTTCACTCACTGAATGCCTATTTCGTGAAGGACACAGGACAAGGGTGGGGATACAATGACAAATCACCAGCTCTGGGGGATTCTGGCCTGATGAAGGAGACTGGGCAAGGGGGTCTTGCTTTGAGGCGGGCCTGGATGTGCAGAGAGATGGGCCAGGAGCTCATTCCCAGCTGGGCTACTTGGGAGTGGGTGTGCTGCGTACCAGGGACGGGAAAGGGTGACGCTACAAGGCAAGAGTTTCTGCTGCGGCTCTGAAAGGTCTCAGTGAAAATGTGGTCCAGCTACAGCATGTGAGACTTTAAATACCAAGATAGAACCTGGATTTGCACTGACAATGAAGACCACTTAGTTCAGAGCAAGAGACATTCTGAGAACCTGGATTTTGGCACCAATCACTAAGCAGCTGATAGCACACTGTAATAATCACCATAATTTTGAGGGTAAAATACCATTATTCCTGTTTTACATAAGAGATTACAAAGCTTGCAGGTGAAGCAGCTAAATAATGACAACGCCAGGATTTGAACCCAGTTCCATTTTAATCCAAACCCAGAGCTTTTTGAGCATTATACGGTACTGCCATCACTAGAGTTGTAGTTGGAGGGTGGTTTTTACAGCCACAAATGGTGAAATGACTGGCTTCTGCACGACTCCCCTGTGTACAGGCATTCACTGGAACATCCCCATCCCCAACCCTTGCTCTCTGCCACACAGCAGAGAGGCCCTTGGGAAGCAATGTCTCCCTGTCAAATAGCATGTATAGGAAAGCCATCCCTCCAGACAAAGTCTATTCTGTGCCACTGCACTTCAGCTCCAGGTGAAAGAAAATGTCACCACCATCACAGCGAGCCAAGGAATGGGGGATCTGAAACACCACAGCCAAAACGAATCCTCCTTGTACATGGCTTCAGCGCCCATTCAAGAGGGCCTGCAGGGACCTCCTTGGCCTCCCATCCTCTTCCTAACCAGGGACCACTGCTCTCTTTTTAGGTAATGGCACATTAGGGGCTAGGTTTTAGAAACCACATGCGAACCGGCAAACTAGGAAAAACAGTTCCCATGGTGAATTCTCCAATGTAACTTTCTCAGAAAACATCCCCTCCCACCAAAAAATGCCTACCCTCCCCACCGACACTCACTCACCACCCATGCCCTCCTGAAAATCTCCTGTCGTGCCCGGATGGCATAGGAATCACCACAGTGCCTTCAGGGGCCGGGGCTATTTCCAAACACTCTTCTCACCCAGGGGTGAGAGCCCGATGACAGTTTATCTTCACACAAGGGGCAGAAATGATGCCTCCACACAAGAGCATAATATTCTAGGCTGTGAGCTTGGTCTCTACTTAATTCACGCTAATTATCACAGTCTTTCAAGCCCAAGCACATCTGGGAGGCTCAGTACACATGAGCCACCAAGACTAGGAGAAAGCGGAAGCCGGATGGTTCTAACAGGAAGATAGTATCTTTGGGAAGGGGTTCTAGGTACTGCACAGGCTCATGGAAAAACCTGGTAAGTATATATTTTTCCAATACCATGACCATCCCTCAAGAAAGCAAAAACAACATGTAAAAGACTATAGGCCCCATCTTCTGGATTATTTACAAGGCTTCTTTTTTGCCAAGACTATTCCAGAAAACTTCTGATGTGGTTGCTTTAAAAAGTCTTAATTTTGGGGATGCCTGAGTGGCTCAGTCGCTTAAGTGTCCAACTCATGATTTTGGCTCAGCTCATGATCTCATAGTTTGTAAGTTTGAGCCCTGCATTGGGCTCTACGCTGACGGCATGGAGCCTGCTTGGGATTCTGTCTCCCTCCCTCTCTGTCTCTCCCCTGCTTGTTCTCTATCTCTCTCAAAATAAATAAAAAATTTAAAAAGTCTCAATTTTTTTTTAAAAGAAGATACTTCTGCAACACTATTATCAAAATCTCAATAGTGATTTTTGCAGATACAGAAAAAAAAACATTCTGAAATTCATATGGAATTTCAAGGAACACTGTCTAGCCAAAACAATTTTGAAAAAGAGGAACAAAATTGGAAGACTTTCATTTCCTGATTTCAAAACAGTACAGAACTACACTAATCAAAGCAGTGTGTTACTGGCATAAAGACAGATGTATACACCAATGGAATAGAATACAAAGTCTAGAAATAAAGCCTTGTATACATAGTTCAGTGATCTTTGATAAGAATACCAAGTCACTCAATGAAGAAAGGACAGTCTCTAACTGTCAGTTGGGAAAACTGAGTATCTACATGCAACAGAATAAAATTTTATTCTTATCTTACGCTATGTACAAAAGACCTAAATGTAACACCTAAAACAATAAAACTCTTAGAAGAAAACAGGGAGAAAGCTTCATGACATCATGGCAAAGATTTCTTGGATAGGACACAAAAAGCAAAGGCAACAGAAGCAAAAACAGAAAAATAGGAGTACATCAAACTTAAAAACTTTTCTGACAGAATCAAAGGACACAATTAACAGTAAAAAGGCAAACTATACAATGGAAGAAAATATTTACAAGCCATATATATGAAAAGGTGTTAATATCCAGAATATATAAAGAACTCTTAAAAATCAACAGAATCAAATAACTCAAAATGGCAAGGCACTTGTATGCCCAAAAATGATATACAAATGGCCAACAAGCGTATAAGAGGCTCAACATCATTAATCATCACAGAAATGTAAATCAAAACTACAATGAGGTATCATTTCACACCCATTAGGATGGCTACTATTTAAAAAAAACAAAACAAAAACAAAACAACAAGTGTTGTTGAGGATGTGGAGAGAATGGAACCCTTGTACACTTTGGCGGTGACAGAAAATGGTGCAGCCACTATGGAAAACAGTGTGATGATTCCTCAAAGTCTTAAACACAGAAGTAATGTAAGAACAGGAATCCCACTTTTGGGTATATGCTCAAAAGAATTGAAAGCAGGGTCTCGAAGAGAAATTTATAAACCCATGCTCATAGCAGCACTCTTCACAATGGCCCCCAGTAGATGCAACCTAAGTATCCATAGATAGATGAACAGATAAACAGAATATAGTGTTAGCGTGCATGTGCGCGCGCGCGTGCACACACACACACACACACACACACACACACACACACACACACACACTGAAATATTATTCAACCTTAAAATTGAAAAAAATCCTGTCACATACTTACAACATAGATGTACTTTGAGGACATCACCCTAAGTGAAATAATCCGGTCATGAAAAGTAGGATTCCACTTACATGAGGTACTTAGAGTCGTCAAACTCAGAGATGCAAGGTAGAACAGTGATTACCAGGAGGAGCGTTACTGTTCAGTGGGTCCAGAGTTGCAGTTTTGCAGGTGAAAAAGTTCTGGAGAGCTGTCCTAACATAACATGTTTAACACTACAGACTGGTACACTTGAAATCAATGGTTCATATGGTAAAAAACAAAGTAAGACACTGATGAGCCGTAAAAGCAGATGAAAAGAGTATTAGTGGAAAAAGGGTATAACTTACTAAAGCTGAAGTCAAAATGAATAGTTTTTTGTGTACATATGTGTTCTCTTCCCTTTCTCTACTCTGGGAATATAAGAGCTAAAAAATAAGGCTCATGAGCCACTGCCAGTCATTCAAGATTCTCAGTCAATCCTTGCTATGTATCTGTCACCCAGTGAAGCTTTCGAGTGAAAGATGCCTAGACCCCTGGCATCCAGGGGCAGACGTCTCAGGCAGGGAGACTCTGGACCTTTATAGACACAGATACTTTTATTTATTTTTATTTATTT